GGCCTCTAAAGGAGAGCTCGGCTGGAGAGCAGACGGGTTCCTCACGGGTGCCCCTGAAAACTGCTCGTTAAAAAGCGCGGTAACGGCTGCGGGTTCCCCCTTCTTCTTCCCCCAGCACGCGGTTTGCACCTTCTTCTCCCCCAGGTCACCTCTGGCTGTTCCGGGATGCGGGGACAAACGATGGACTCCTTGTCAACCAGCAGGAGCTGTTTATCGCGGCTCCCAACGTGAACAAAGCAGACATCACGCTGCCAGGTAAAGAGAACAGGACTGCCTGTGTCGTGGAAACTGGAGAGCTTTGCACTTGATCTCTTTGCCCTTCGGTGTAAGGACCTAGCGAGAAATCAGGTACTCAAATAATAAAATCTAGCTCAAAAGCAGGAGGAGATCGTGAGGGTTTCTAGATGGAGCTGTGTCACCCCACTGCACCGGTTAGAGCTATTGACAGAGCTCTCATAGGTGTCTCTGATGGGTTTTGAAGCGTGCCTCACGACAGGAAACAAGTAGTTCTCTTCCCCTCTTTCACGTGAATTTAGTGTGTTGTGAATAATGCTGCTACGCGTTATGTTCCGTATCCGCATACCTGGAGAAGTACTGTCTGTGTCTGAGGCAGCAGCTAACGAGAGCCCTTCTGACGAGGTCGTGTGTGTGTGTGTGTTTGTTTTTAACCTCAGTGTTCACTCTGAAAGAGAGATGTCTCCAGGTTGTTCGCAGTCTGGTCAAACCGATGGACTACAGGAAACTGGACATTGTTCGATCACTATATGAAGAGCTGGAGGATCATCCTGATATTAGGAAGGATCTTCAGCGGCTGTCTCTGGAGAGAAGTGAAACGTTGAGGAACGGAATTCTGGAATAAGACGATTACTCGCTCCAGGCTCTTTAAATAGCAAACCGCTGAGTTGAACCAGGGATAGTCGCCGCGAAGCGTGCCGAGAACTGATGTCTGTATTTTAAGTTCTGAAACACAAACTCGGTTAAATTGATGACGGCAAGTCAGATCCAAAAGACTAAACAGCACGTAGAAGCACACCGGGTTCCTGGTGGTTCAGGTCTGTTCTCCGTGATGTGTACTGCAAACCGATGTCTCTAGAGGCCTTGCCTGGGTGAAGCTCAGCAGTTTTATTTGGGCTATCTCAGAACACTGCACAGGGACATAAGATCAGGGCATCTGTCTGGAGAACATGCATACAGATTAACTTCCGTTGTATTGGAAAGTAAATTGTAGCAAGGATTCATTTCATCCAGACTCTAATGATTGCAAGTGGCAGACCAACACCAGTTTTGCTTGAATAATTTGTTTTCGATGGAATTCCACTCTTTCACACTCAGCCTAGATTTGCCCGTGAATCGCAAAGCGCGTGGGTGTGTGCGTGTATGTGAGGGTTTCCATCACCACCCTCTGAGGACCTGACCTGAAACATTACATTGGTGGAAAGATGATGTGTAAATGCTTGGGATTTTTTCTGCCTCTTACCTTTGCGTTTATAAACCCATGTCATATGCGCTCTGAGGCTGACATGTTTTTACACAGATCATACCTTGAATGCCTTATTTGTCCTTCATGATTGGATTCTTGCCTAGTTGATCCCAAGGTGATCCAACCTAGTCGGCCATGCAGACTGGATCCTGGGTTTGGGACACTTTTCTCCTCCACAGCTGCTTCCCCAGCTTCCTGTACAGGCGTATCAGGTAGCGTTCGTAGAAGGTAGATGCTTTGAGTCCTACCTTTGCCCATCGCAGTGCAGTAGTTCGGGTCGTAGTGGGGGGCCTTTTCAGGGAGCGTGGACCACTCAAGTTGCCGTCTCGTCACGAGCAGACAGCAGACTGTTTCAGCTCCTACGGGCCTATTGCTAGATCCAGCTCACAAACAGACCCATGCTTTATTACAGGCGAGATAAGCAGAGAAAACATTTCTTTACCTGTGTTCTGTTTCCCCCATACCTCAGTTAGAACGTGTATTTGTGTGAATGTGCACACGTAATTCAGAGGAACATTGCTTTTAGCAGATGCACGGATTGTCCACCAAGTAACAGATGTAGTGCTGTTCAATGTTAGAAGCAGATTGGTAGGAGATTGTAGCAGGTTATTTCTGTGGCATACGTTTCTTTCCAGTTATACATTCTAAGAAATGCAGCTGTGAAACTGAGAATATCAACGTATTCTGTAAGTATTAAATGTCTCCCCTTTTTGTAGACTTGTTTTTCTTACGTATTTGAAGTGTATGAAGTGACCTTTGACATAAAAATGTAAATCCATGCTAACTTTTTTACTCTGTCAGATAACTTTACAGTGCTTGTGCCTGTCTGCGTGTATTCCTGCAACACTCCTGGAAGTCATTCTAGTTGATCAGATACTTTCACATTGAGTTTCTAAACTGCTCAGCCCCCTGTTCCTGCGTTGTGGCCAACACTAAACTGTTACCACAACTTTAGGCAGCGTCTGTGCGTGAACGTAGCTACGTTACAATTTCTGCTTTTACCACCTTTTGCAGATCTCTTTCAGAGACAAGTGAGCCTGTGCAGGCCTCAGGAGTCACCCAGCTCCTGGGGAGCCCTTAGGTTCGAGGGTGCCGTGCTGTGCTCCTGCAGGTGGGGTCCTGCAGGTACCCGAGAGGAATTTCTTTCCTGATGTCCTTGTGATGCTGCGCGTTATGATTTATGTGGCCGTACTGCCAGCCAGTTGCAGAAAACTGGCCTGCTTGACTCCGTAGTTTTTCTTTTAATGTAGTAGGTAGTACGTCTTGGGTTTAACAGATCTGTACATATCACAAACGTTCTGTATATTTCTGATTTATGTGGGGTCTGTGATCTCTTCGGTTATTAGAATAATTACATTATTATTATCTTATTGGAATAATTTAAATTTATTCCATTAGTCTGTGACTTCTTCCAGTATACAGCCAGTCAGTGACGCTTTCCTAGTACAATGTTCATCACTGCTAATGGATCAGATTCCTTGGATTCCTGCATGTTAGCAGACAGAAGAGCATACTGCCAAAACAAACATGTGAAAACTACCTCATGATCTCATCGCTCATAGAACTACCTCATGATCTCATCGCTCATAGGAGTACCCTGTCTTTGCTTAACTTTTAGTTACACTTACTGAATTCCAAGGCAACTTAAATCCTTAGCCAAAGAGCAGCTCCTGATGGGCAACAATTAGTTGTGGATGCTTTGTGTTAACTTGCTGTGGTTCAGCCTATTTTCTAAGGGACATTTTCTGTCCATTCTTTCGAAGATTGACTTGAGGGTGATTTGTTACTGTGTAGGAATGAATCGAGGATCTGTCAGTCCCTGGACAGCCTGACTGTTGAGGGTACACCCAAAGCAGGGAACATTGGATTGTTCCTCAATGGCTGTTCAACTTAAATTGCATAAAAATGCAGAAACAATTGTCAGGGTAGAGACCATCCTTCAACTATGTGCTGTCATCTGCAGTCACATATCTACACAGTCTCTCTACCACCTTTTCCTCATCAGTTTGTGTTTTAAAAGTGAAACTTAATTCTTTGGAAGACTCTGTGCTATTACCCACAGAATCCCAAGTAGAAGGTGGCATTTCCTTGAATCCTTGAGGTATGTGAGTCCTAAGACAGGAATTTTACAAACCCTGCTTCAGTTCTTTAGCTTTAGCATTTCATTTAAGCACAGGTGCTGTCCTTGCACAGCAGGCCAGCTGCTCTCGATCCCCTCCTGAGGTGGCAAATGCCTCATTCGTAGAACAGAGGCCAGACAGCAGGGACTTTTGGATTCCGCACCAGACAGCTGTCTCCCAGTTAGGCACTGTAGCATCTGATTTTTAGTACCAAAGTGCATTACTTGGATCTAGCTTCACAACTTAATGCTATCATTTCATTCTGCCAACAGTAGCTGACTACTCTTTGCACAGCCACCAAGAGTAGGAAATACTTTATTTTTAAAATAATGACTGCCTCTTGCCTAATGTATAGCAAGAGGCAATCCATGCTTGAAATCTTATACTTTCCCTAGACAAGATAACAAAGGAAATTCTACTTCCATTTTGCAGATGAAATTGAGTTGTCCAAAGTTATGCAAGAAGTCTGGGAGAAGAAGGGACTGAACACAAATAAAAAGTCCAATGCAGAACCCTGTTCACGCAGCTGCCTCCCCTGTTCCTCCCACAGCTCTCTTCTTGCAATGTGGATAGATTTTCTTGTGATATGAATTCTGTAACTGCTTAGCTAATTTTAGCTCTCACATACCATCTAAGTGTTGATTTTCCTGTTGACAAATCATGAAATACCTTTTTTTTCCCCATACATCAGGTTTAAAAACTTAGGAACTTCCTCTCTAAGATGAGAAGCACTTAAAAACATCTCTCACAAATAGCTGACAAGGTTTTGTTTTTACAGACCACTGAGTCACACCTGATGTTACATTTGATCCTCTTGCCACAGTCTGACAGCACTGTTACAGGTCTTGCTGGTTCCATCTTGTCTTTTTAACCAATGTGGCAGTGATTGTGAGCATTTTAAATAACACCGTCATTTAGCCGGGCTAGTCATAAGAGTCAAATTATCAACTGCTCACAAGACCCTACCATGGACTAGTTTAGTAATAACATCAGCCCGGCCTGTGTATCTTATTTTTTTTACTTAGAGGCATTCTAGCATAAAAGCAATTTGATTACATATTGTTTGTCACTGGAATGCAATAGCTCATAATATTTCTGATATCATTTGGTTTTCATTCTTCAGCCAAACCCATGGCTCGAGTATTTATACAAAGTGCAAGGCACTGACAGAGGTAAGGAAGTAATTGACATAAAAGCCTGTTCCATTAGAATTGTTAAAGCAGGTGCATGAATGCTATACTAGAAATTTTTGGTCATTAAAGAACTCCTATTGATAAAATATGTTTAAGAAAAATAAACAACAAAACTGGATGTTATAGGTAGGTAAACTTCTGGAGAAAGGCTCAACATATACAAGAAAGTGTATTTCTTCTGTTCTGGAGCGCTCCTTTGGATGAGAATAAAAACAGACTAAAGAAAAACCCCAGCTGGCTCTAAGACAGGAAAATTGGAAAATGGAGCCTCCTACTCGTTACTCAGCTAGATTAGTAGTGAGTGAAAGTTGCCATTTACTTGTGACAACTGCATTAAAAATTTGGGTTGTTTTCAGTCGGAGTCATCGCACTGTCTCATTTGACAGTCACGGGAGCAGCAGTAAGTTGGGTGAGAAAGGTCAGGACCGGACTGAAAGTTCCCACTCGACACAACTGCTGGGTGCGGCGCGGTGGGAACGTGCTGCTGCAGGAAGTGGCGGGTCACAGCTGGCGGTGAAAAACACTAGAGAAATAACAAATTATTCTGACATTTGTTTAGTGTCCAAGGGCTCAAGGAGAGCACGCAGCAGTACAGAGTCCTGCCTAATACCTCATTCTTTGAAAGTGAAGGCTAAACAACAGGAATATATAGGATCATTCTAGTCTCCGTTTGAAAAAGTAAATTTCAGTTCCCTTGTAAAACCTTTTATTACATACAATATTTAGTGCGAGACTGAAGCCGTACGCACAGTTAGATGCATTCTTTCCCCTCGTTTTCCCATGAGGCAAATAGTCCAAAAGGTTTCAGGTTTTTTTCCAGTACCCAAGGGAAAGAAGTGTCCTTTCTTCCTGCTTATCCAATTCTTTGCAACACAAATTTCAATCTCATCTTACGTGACTTTCAGAGATGCTCTGATCGTCTTCCCATGACAGAGAATCTAGGTATGTGTCAGAGGGACAGTAAGCGGGGAAAAGGGAGGGGGAAAAAACATAAATTTAACTATTATTGTTGAAATAGTACTACTGCTAAAGCAGTTAGGTCCCAAGGCAATCTTTGAATGGTGATATTTTAAATAATAATACACTTTGGATATTTTTGTTTAGGTTTTTTTCCTGTCTTTTGACCTTGTAGCTACATTAATATCACATTTTTCAGCTTTTCCTTGCCGTAGTGGGGGTAGAGAAATTCATTGTTACTTTTAATGGTACTTGAAAGGTTCATGCTTTCAGAGGCAAGAAGTAACTGCCAAAGTTTGAAAGTTTGATACTGAAAACAAGTCAGCTGTACTGTAAAATATATGCAGATTATAAAGAAATAGTAAATTAAAAGCTCTCAAAACTTACAGTACTGTTTGCAATTAATACAAAAGACCTAGGGCTAAATATGAACAAAAAGAAGAGAAAGAGGAATGGGTTACAATTATGTGTTGCAAACTGTCCCATGATGGCAGAGGTACAGCTATAAGGCTCTCCAAGTAGATCATTTTGCCAGAAATATTTGTAGCATGTACACTGGCAAATTAATTAATTACAAATTTTTAGCAAAAGCAAGTTAAATATGAAAAAAAAAAGGGGAAAGACTAAAAATTTAGAAAAATTGCTGACTTTAAGAACATATTTTAAACCTAATCCTTGATGAGCGAGACCTGGTCATATGACCACTTTTGATGTTTTTTTTTACTTCTCGCTCCCTGCATCTGCTACCATCCTACATATAATAAGTGAAATCCTATACACTGCAGTGATTGTAAAATCCTGGCAACAGTCAGACTGGCAGGAGGATCACTGCTCAGTATTAGCTGGCAGTGCTTTTTACTGCCCTCTTTGTTGGTACGCATTTCTTTCTTAGATACTGTGAGATCTTTGAAACTTTCTCAATCCCCAGTTGTACAGCACCCAACACAGTGGGGAGCATGGTTGGTGTAGCTCTTAGGGGGATCTACGTTTAAAAACACACACCCACCCCCATACCTATATGGGTGAACAAATCATTAGCTGGCTGCCCTGGAGACGTGGCCAAAGTCTGGGCTGAGCAGGCAAGCCGGCTCTGCCGGGCGCCGCTCCTGACCTACACACCTGACCTCACTTTATCTGTGCAGCTGTTGCACAGCCTGTCGGCAATACCAGCTGTGCATAACATGCAGGAAAGCGTCTTTCACCTCCATCACGTGAAACTTGTGATTTGGAAACCAGGCTGGAGCAATAAGCACACATGGAAAGGAAAATCTGACTTGCATTTGGGGCCGGGGCCTGACGTCAGCCAGAGCAGGAAGCAGTGAAGTGTGGTCTGACCCTGCCAAGAAACGCTTGCCTGTGTGACTTGGCTCTTCCTCCAGCAAAGAACAAGTCGGGCCGGGGTGGGGACAGGCTGTCAAGGCCAGCCCCTTCGAGAAGAGGAAGCTTTTGGAGAAAATCTACGCTCCACAGCACGCAGAGGAGGCAGAGACTGGTGAGCGTCACTGCCTGTAGCCATAGTCCTTGCCCTGGGCGTGCACCATGTGTAGCCGCTGCTGATGGCCGCAGTGGGGACAAAGGACTCTCCGGAGAGGGACTGCGAAGCAATGACCCTGCAGCAGCCACCCCTAGCCCCGAAAGGGGGCTCCCCCCTGGCTCTGTACATTCACAGCATGCCTGCCTGGGTGCTGGAGGATTTCTGCCAGAAGATGGACTGCCTGAGTGACTACGACTGGATGCGATTCGGTGAGAGGGGGGCAGCGGGGCAGGTGGGCTGGCGGCAGGGCTGGCTCTCCCCGAGCTGATGGGGTGGCGATGGGGGTACAGGGAGCGGCAGCACCTTTAGGACTTGTGGTCGAAGGCCGCGAGGTACGCAGCTGTCCCCAGGCAGGGCCTCTGGCCAAGTCGTTCCCCAGCGCGCAGACGAGCACATCCTGTAGACAGGGAATTCCCGTGCACCAGTCTGTTTTCGGGACCAAGCGAAACCTGATTAATAGGTGGAATTCCAGACTTCTGTGTTCCCTTGGTTTCGCCCTGGCAGCCAGGCTCCCTCCCCTCGCTCTCCTCTATCTTTTGCACTCCCCTCTCCGTTAACACTTTATCTTCTGCTACTTCTCACTGCTTGCCTGTTTTCACAACATTCCTCACATGTGCTTATATGTTCTATTTTTTTCTTTCTTCCTTCACTTCATGTATATTTCCTCATGCTTAATGCCCCTATTTTTCTCAGTCCTGGCCGTGTCCAGTTAATAAGTATGGAAAATGTAGTTCCTGAGTTTTTTATTCTTTTTTCTGTATCCCAGCCCAAACAATTCTAACCTGAATCTTTTCTTAGTTGGCCTACCTTCCTTTATTTAACATGATTTAATTTCATTCAAGACTTCACTGACTCTGCTGAGTAAACTCTTACTCCAGTTAAACTTGCTGACCTAGGGTGGGATTCATCTCCGCTATCTTCAGATGCATAAAACTGTATGTCTAATGTCCTTCTAAAGCCAGCTGAGGTGTGAACTGGGGAATCTTTGTTTCCACACACACACACCCCGACCCCCAAGCCTCCCTCCTTCAGGCTAAGCAAGAAGCACATCAGGTGCTGGTCAGCTGAGAGGGGCTGAGTCAGACAGGCACCTTTGGTGGGTATCTCCACCAGCCCCTGGAGACCACAAATGAGCACAGCTGAATTTACACAAAATCCCAGGATGGAGTGACAAGGTGACTGTGTGTCACAAACCGCTGTTTCAGCACAGTTCATCCTGGCTTCGCTCCCCGGACCCTCTGCCGTAAGGAGCTGGGGCTGCCGCCTCCCGTCCCACAGACAGAAGCACGCTTACGCTGTGGCCAGGTGCATCAGATTTAGTGGGAGCTAAATAAGGGGAGGGGGGTTACATGTCAGTAAGAGAGCTGAGAAGAGTACGGAGGGGGTTACCAGCATACTGTGTGCATTCAGGAATCAGGACAAATTATGTAGGGTCAGCTTTAGCACAGTATCTCCTGCTCTTCAAAATAGCTGCATTTCACTGATAGCTTTATCTGACATCCAGATGATTCAGCTACTATTTGGCTTATCATAATATTGGTATTTAGTAATGTAGACAGGCGTACAGTCTCACCATTGACTTCCGTTACCTATTTTGGGAGATCACACCAGGAATTTAATCTGAACTTATTTTGGTACAAAGTATTAAGGTGAAGGAAGATTATGGGGAAAATATGCTGAAAAGCGTGACTGGGTTTTCTTTTTGGGTCTCTGATATAACAACATTTTCTCCAGAATAGTCGAAGGAATAAAAGGAATATCTTACTTTAGGAACTGAATTTTCTTCAGGTCCACATAGCTAATTTATTGTGATCCTTCCTTTTAAAAGTGTGCAAATGAAAAAGCAAAGTGTGTATCGTATCTTAGCTTTCCCTGCTTGCACTTGCTTGTTTTTTCTACTTTTTAAACAGAAATATCCATTGTCTCCCACTAGCCTCCTATGTGATAACTGATCAAACAGAGCTACGGAAAATAAAGTGCATGGAGAAGACTGGCATCAGCATAACAAGAGAGCTCATGTGGTGGTGGGGAGTGAGGCTGGCGACAGTGCAGCAGCTCCTGGACTTGCTGCAAGGACTGCAGCTCTACCGAGCGGCTCAAGTCATTCTGGACTGTGAGTAGCTGCCCCTTCCTCCCGCGGGGAGTCTGTGCTGCTTCTTAGAGCACCTAGATCCAATACAGTAAATCTGTCTTGCGAGCTGAAGAAATTTTTTGCTGGGAGTCTCATGCTCAAATTCTAAAATTTCTCCACTGATTGTGATTTTCTACTCTCCCAAATAAAATTTGTGGTGGGAAAGGAAGAGGTGACATAGAGGAGGAATCACTGGTCCCTCTAGTTCATCATCCCACCTTTGTAGTGGCCATTTTAGATGCTTCGGGAGGTGCCAAAGAGAGATTGGCTGTGCTCTGAAGCAGAGGTGGTACTTTCATGCATCAGATAGGTTTCAAAACAGAGTTTAATCATGAATGTTTTAATTTTTCATACATTCTTGTTTCTCAGTGAAATTTTGTCATCATACTCTAATTGTCAACAAACTAAGAGTAGAAAAACATATGATCAGTTTTGCCTACGCAGCCTGCTTTCCTGCGCCATAAGAAAAAGGTTATGAAAAGGAGAAATGGTTTATTGATTACACACATTACTATTTCTTTATCTCACTTCATATTTTCTCTATTCCTATCATATGTTCTCCTCAATCCCTCCATAAATTAAACAACTGTAGTCTTTTCTAACTCTTTGCATGCTATTCTCACCTATCTCCAGTTTGCTCTATTTCAGATCTATCTTTTTGAGGTAGGATGATTAGAGTTTGAACTCAGTGTGCCAAGTTAAGGTAAACAATTGCCATATAGAAATCACAATAGTTTTAAATATAATTTTCCTTTCCATTTTTCTCCATTGAAAATTATGTTTAAATTGCAGCTGTCCATTTTTGTAAGCCAAACTGTACCGTAGTCCAGTTCTACCACGAAATCTGTTGAACCCTGGACAACATACTGTCTTTCTGTATTGAGTTGCCCCAAAAAGTTGGGAGTGGACCACATTCCCCTTTTCACACATATTCCCACCCAAAATCTACTTTCTGGAAATCAGATGTTTGTATGAATTTTGCCAGTTCTCCATAGAGAATTACTAGAAAGAAAAATTACAGATTTTTGTTATGTGGCCAAAAATGCTTAGAGACCTACTATCCGGGTGCCTATGGGAAACGCTCAAAGCTTATGAGGGCGTATGCTTCCACAGGTGGAAAATGTGCGGGAGCACCACCTGCTTTTCACATTCTGTGACAGGGAAGCTGTCAGCAGCGGGGGTGGTTTTGAGTTACATCATGAGCGGCTGTTGCGAAACAGCAGCCTGCTTCCACAGGGCAGGGCCGCCAGCAGCCAGAGCTGCAGCTGGCATTCGCTGCACAGCAGCTAGAGTAATTTCTCATGGAAAGTCCAATAATGCATCATGCGTTTCTTGCCACAGCATTTCTTTGTGTAGCACTGCTGGTTTTCTGTAGTTTCCTGGCATTAGCATGACTTTTAACCTTCATTTTGGTATGGCAGAAAAAAATCTTTTAACAATGGTATTCTACATTTCTATTTTCTTTTTTTTTTAAAAGAGACTATTAAGTACTACGGCGCAAGCAACCTTCAAGCAAATTCTGTCTTAGTACATCAAATACAACCACCACAGACCCCAACGAGAGCATTGCTCAGTTAATATAACTAATTTTGGCATGCAGCCTTTTGATTCAGCAGATCCACTTTCTGACTGAATTCAGCCACAGCATTCAGCTTAGGAGACTCTAACAATTCTTACTCCTCATTCCTCAGCAAAGCAAACCAAGCTACAGGAAAGTGAACTCGAATCTGTTTTAATTTGTATATCAGTACAGTTTTAATTTGTATATCAGTAATATCCAATCGTTAATTTAGTCACAGTGACTGTGACTTTGAGGTTCCAGTCTGAGTGGACAGGACTGAAAACAAAACCTTGATTTTTATTTTTTTTTTTATAATTATACATTGAATAAATCTGATCTAGATATCACCAATGCAATAAGCCTGGCTCCCTGATAATGGTATTTTTATGGATACTCTGGAGTAGAGGGGTGACTTCCATGATGTGATGACACTTCTGCTCTGTGCCTGTTCAGTATTTAACTCAGTTGATTCCTAGTCCATAAAGAGAGTTTCTGGGTGCTCTTATATAACACAGTATATAACCTACCACACCTTAAACTCTTAATTAGTTACAGTCCTTGCCTTCTTTCCCTGCCAGAGTGCATTCTGGGGCCCACCTTTGTTTACGGCTGGCTTATTTCAGTGTATTCCTTTACAGAGGTCACTGACATTTCTGTAATCCCACTTTATACATTGTGATTTAATAAAAAAAAAAACTGTATTCTCCTTCCAAGAAACATAAAAACTGAAATTGAAAAGTTACTGAATGTTTTTACCACTACATAATAGCAGCCACAATTTTCAACGTAATTTTTATCTGTCATGGAAAAGGCTGGCTTTGTTCAGTTAAGTATGATGCCTTTTCTTTCCCATGTGGGTTAATTTTGCCATTTTTGCAAAAAATGAGTTCAAAGAGCTTAGAAAAATTACTTGTTATAACAACTGAGATGCTGCTGCTTTTACCCCAAAGGAGAGGGTTTCCTCTTCTCTTACAGGCCTTTAAAACAAGACCATGAGTAGATTTCAAACTGAGATTAGTTCAGCACGTTGCGGTGGTGAATAACTCCAAGTGAAGCTTTGTGTATTTAATTTCAGAGAGCTATTGCTTGCAAACCACAACATTGTTGGATTCAATCTGATGTATAGCACATTCAGTAAAACAACCCCCTGGAAACCCAGAGGCCGCCCAGAAGATCTCTGAGCATTAGGCCTGGTCCTGTGTGCAAAGGCCAGGATATGGCACTGGATCAAATCCTGAGAGGCAGCATTTTAAAGCCCCTGACAAGATTGCTTACACAAGAAGCAAGTAAGATTTGTCTGTCTGATTATGTAAAATGCAAACAATTGGGCTTCCAATCCAAGAGCAGCTTCCAGCAACATTGCCATTAAAAATAAAGATACAACACAGACGAAAATAATCATCATCACTGCACAGAAACATTCATCATCATCCTGTTTGTCTGGTTTACTTTTAAGTGGTATGTCAGTATCACTGTAGCTTGCGCAATATGCACCCGACTTCAGCCTCTGGTGTAAGAGGGGATTACCTGCTTTCTCTTGTGCTTCTGTGATTTCCCTTTTTCTTTTTTTTTTTTAACTTTCTCAAAAACATTTCTGAGACTTTTTGGACTTCACTTGCCACAAGCTGCAAAAACTGAGGGTTTTCCCCCTGTTAAAAATAAAACCCGATCAACTTCCTCCAGGCTGGAGGAGTACACTTTGTGATTTCTAAGGAAAAGCTTGGTTTCTAAAAATTGTAGTTGGCTGATGCAAGTAAACAGGGGTCTTTATAATGATTTCTGCGGGCTAGATAGTAAATAGGGAAAGTAAGTATTAAGAGGTCATGGCAAGAAATGGACATAGGCAATTCAGCTCATTAAGACACTGAACTGATGTAATAGATCTAACATACCTTTGTTTCTCTGATTTCCTTTGTGACAATGGGTGAGCTACAATATTGGACTGTTCCATGAAGGGCTTCATAAGGAGTTAGAAGTGATTTTGGTTTTGACTCTGCATTCTGTAAAGCAATATGAAGGCCAGATAAAGAGAGTTTAAAAGAGGATGGATGAGACAAATCCTGTGGAGTGATCAATTTTTAGTTATGTTTCTGGATGATCAATATTAATTTTTGTCCCAGATCACTTCAAATGTATAAATTGCAAAACTACAATGAAATGATCTTTTTAAAAAGCTTCTTATAGTTGTCTTTTATATTGAAGTCCATAGCAAAACTTCATATTAATTTAAGTGGCAGGAAGTCTGGATTATTTTGTTGTTCTGCCATGTGGAAGTAGTTACTTTTTTCTGAAATTAACCCAATACGGGCATTCCACTGTGTGCTCAGTCATAAGCAGAAGTGATTTCTAGCAGGATCTTTTTAGGTTTACATAAATCCTTGAAGTCTTTACCCTCTATTTCTCTTTTTTTATCTGTATCTGAATATGCTTCCTCAGGTGATTCCTCTTGGGCAGATATGGAGAATACATTGCTTGTTCTATTGGGCACTTCAGAAAACTAAGTGGTCCTAACATCACCATAATTCTATTCGTTCTGACTTAAAGGAATCAGACACAACACACAGGTAGATGTTTTGCTGGCAGATTACCTCCAGGCGAGTTCTACCTCCCTTCAACAATTTCTTGCACTACTCTAGTCCCACTTCTGAATGTCCATAAGAATATTTTTTTCTTATGTCAGTTCTTTAGCTTCAGTGGTGACCTGTTTGTCTGATGTGCAGGAAGTTGCAAAATTCATGAAAAACCCTGAAAAATAGGTTGAAAGAGGGAAGTGATTCTAATTTTAGAAACTTCTACGTTAAAGTACAGGAGGAAAAAGTCAACAACTGCAGAATACAGGGACTGTCAGTTTTGACTAAAGGCCTGCAGACTGTTCGATAGCTAATTTCAAAAACCCGTAAAATTTGGGATTTTGTAGCATTCTGACACAGTAATAAAGAAACATACCTGATTTTTCTGAGTTTTCATTTTAAGATCTAGTTTCATTCAAACCTGCATTCATAGATGACATTGAAGAAAGTGGATACAAACCCCAAACAGAGGTCAAAGGAAAAAATTTGCCTGACGTGAACATGCCCCCTTCTACCATTACTGCTTTTCATATACGCCTACTCTTCAAACCTTAGTACGCTGAAACTGTCATAGCTTGTCTTCTCTTAAACAGTTCTACTGAATCTTGGTTTATTATAAGTAGCACAGATTATAAATGAAACATACCACTTCCTGCTTGTTTCAGATACTCTCAATGCTTTGTTTGTACAAAAAAAATAACACACAGCTATTATCTGATTCCAAATGCAAATAGAGGCCTGTGGCTTTTGATTCCAAGATCACCACCATGCTTAAGATACAAAGCTGATAAAACAGCGTGACAAAAACCCCTTGTATTAATACTTGTGCTTATTTTCTTTTATATAAAAATAAAACATTAATTTTGATTTTTAAGAAAATGCTAAATGTATTGCTGAGAAAGGTGCCAGGTAGAAACAAAAGTTTAGAACTACAACCAGGAAAATGTTGTTATCAGGCAGTAGAAAGTCCTTATATCACCCCCGGTGCACACTGGGCATTTCCAAGCTCCTTTTCAACATCAGTTTTAAACGTATTCACAGATAAGAATTCAGCTGCTTCTTCAGGAGATTTTGAGAGCCTTGTATATCACAGAATCTTGAATTTTTTTTACTTTATTTTTTCCCATCCTAACTGTAGCCTAATCTAATTTTAATAATTCCCTCTAAGATGTACATACTTTTCAAGTCCCTGTACGCTGAAAGCATTTTTGTACTTCTTTTAACCAGACTTCAAGTTGCTTTTTCAGGCCTGATTCTGAGATTTTGCCAAGCTGTATACAACATAGAATCTTTTAGAGCTGTAGTGAATCAATAATTTGGCCTTTAACTTTTCCTTATATATCAGTAAGTAAGTATATATGTAAGTAAGTCTTGACCTTTGCCCATTTTTATGTTTTCCCTAGATTGTCTCCAGTTTGGTTTTTTCTGTTCATAAGTAAAAGTAGGATTCCTTATTGCAAATAGTTCTATGTAAGAAAGTGTTTTCTGGGAATGAGCATGGTCATGACACTAAAACCACACAACTGAAAATAGTCCTAAAATATTTAGCGGACTAAAACCAATACAATTCTGTCAAACTTCCTCTCAGTCCCATGACAATTAAAAGAACTAGATGCCTTCTTTAGGCTGGGAGATATTTGTGATTTGAGATCATTGGCTGAAGGATGCTACATAGAAAATGACAAAATAAATATACTATAATTGCTAATTTCTTATTGTAAGAGGCTATCTATCTTTTGCATAGTCATCACTGGTATTTGTTTGAAGATATCACTTCTTATTCATTCTCAGTAGTAGTTAATGTCATGAATGTGGTCTGAATTTAAATACCAATAGTATTCCAGCAATTTAACATTAAATTGCTTGAATGCTCATTTTAATGTTCATGTTAATTTACAGTCTGTTTTCCTGACTAGGGTTATTTCCTGATAACTGATTAGAGTCAGACTCTATTTTCCCTGGTAATCTTCATCTTTCCTTTGTTCTCTTTTGAAGGGACATCAGCCTCTAATATTACCAACTCTGAAAAAGAACAGCTGGTAGAGCCACAGAAACAGGAGAACATATCTTTAACTCCCACAGAAAACAAAAATAGAGAGAGAGAAAATGAGATAAGCCTGTTGCCATCACCAGTCTCTTCACATCTGGGAGTATCACCAGCAGGTAGTAAGTAGAGTACTAGATTCTGAATTTGCTCTAACATTGAAATGACCATATAGACAAGACTGCATTCCATTCACTTTCAGTACGGTATAATGAATATATTGCTCTTCAAAATGGTCACATACGAATATTTGCCTTTTTCCTAGCACTGTTGTCTCCTGAGCTTTTTATTCCTAACTTTAGCACACGGCCTCCTGTTCCTCCTTCCTATAGCTCTCTTGGCCTTGAGAGATGCTGGCTATATCTATCCTGTGGGATCTCAAGACATTTCCCAGGTCTCTGTGAACACCCTGGTCCCATCCTCGCTCCATACTAAGACTAGATCAGTGCATATATGTCCTGCCCCATGTCCCTCTCTCCATGCAAAATAAATCTAGGCCAGAAGAGAGCCATGCACGGGTCAGCAGGCCCCTCTGCCTGGAAAAGGGAGGGAGCAGAACCACAGGACATACTGAGGAGAGCGTCTGACCAACAGTATAGACGTAGGGAGCTCTATGTCCCCGAGCCAGGACTAGAGAGCTCTGCGTAGTCATCTTGCAAAGAGGAACCAGGAAAATAGCCCCCTGTCTTCACACAGTATTTCACATTTTGACAGCTTGTCACAGATTATCCCTGGTTAGGAAATTCAACAAAATACCCCAGACCTTCATGATTAGTCACAGTCTGTGGTATTATAAAAATAAGGTGTATTTTCAATGCTTTTATTTCAATTTCAGGTGCTGTTTCTGAAGGAGCCTTGTATTCACTCCCTTCTCCACCACCTCCCCCAAGAGACCTTTTGAAATCCTTACAGTCAAATCCTTCTGTCTCATCAAGTGTGAAGGTAAATCCCTTTAGTACTCATTGATCGTAACAATGAAAATTGTCTTTATGACATTCTGTGTTTTTTCAATTAAAGTTTATCCCTCTACTTGTATAAAATATAGATCTAGTGAAAAAGTGGGGCTTGATTACAATTTGTTTGGACTGAATATAATACTAATGCTTCACTGAGATGATTACTTAGACTTTACATCACTTTTTTTGGCCAGTGAAGGACAAGTGAGGGAAAAAATTAACAATATTGCATACTGCATAGCTCAGCATGTATAACATGCCTGCAAATAGCAATTAATTTTGAAGGAATTTCCAGTATAGATTTTACAGAGGGCTTAACATTTCTGGTGTGATCGCAGGACAGTGCAATAAATACCACTGACTAGTCAGAATGGCATACTTCTTTTAGTTTAATTTTATACTTAAAATGTGGTTTCTGCTCAAAACTGGGCTAGTATCAAATTTAAGTCGGTTGCCCAGAGCTTTGTGTAGCTGACAATTGAAAATCTCCAAGGATGGAACCTCCATCACCTCTCTGAGCCCCTGTTCCGGTGCTTAACCATCTCACTGTGAAAAGTTTTTCTCATGTTCCTAATGATTTCAGCACACAGTCTCCTGTTCCTTCCTCCCTATAGCTCTCTTGTCTTTGAGTCCGTCTAGCTAGATCTGTCCTGTGCATTCTCAGTGTTTCCCAGATCCACATGCAGACTCTAGTCCCATCATGGTTCTGTCTTGGCCTGTTGTGGTTTAACCCGGCAGGCAGCTAAACACCACACAGCCGTTCGCTCACTCCACCCACCTCCCCAGTGGACAAAATAAGTGATGCACAATGCAATTGCTCGCCACCCGCCGACTGATGCCCAGCCAGTCCCCGAGCAGCGGTCACCGCCCCCCAGCCAACTCCCCCCAGTTTCTATACTGAGCATGATGTCACATGGTATGGAATATCCCTTTGGCCAGTTTGGGTCAGCTGTCCTGGCTGTGCCCCCTCCCAGCTTCTCGCTGGCAGGGCACGGGAAGCTGAAAAGTCCTTGACTAGTGTAAGCACTGCTCAGCAACAACTAAAACATCAGTTTATCAACTGTGTGTTATCAGTGATAACACTGTGATAACAGTGCGTTATCAACATTATTCTCACGCTAAATCCAAAACACAGCACTGTACCAGCTACTGGGAAGAAAATTAACTCTATCCCAGCTGAAACCAGGACACCTGTTTTCTTTAGTTCATTTTGTTCAAGTTTTTTTAAAGAAGATCGTGTTTTAAGACTTTAAACTCTTCCAAAATAACATGGTTCAAGAGTACCAGCCAGAAGAGAAGATTGCTATAAAGGATGCAGTAGTTTCAGAGTTTCTTGAGAGGGAGTTAATGTTTTGTTTTCTCAAGTCTGGAGAACATTAAGGTTGTGAAAGCTGCATGATTAGGCTATACCGGAGCTGTGATAACAATTGGCATTAGGACTTGCCACACTGGAAGCAACAAATTACTGTGCAGGCAACACCAGATGCTTCAGAAGTAGACATGAAGTTCCTACCAGAACCTAAATACATTATGAGGGACCTTACTTTCTGATCCAACTGTTTCTTCATATATGCCCCAGCCATAAAGATTAATTATTTTTTGTAACTTAAACTAACATCACTTCAAATAAATATATGGACTTTTAAACAAAACTAAGCCTGTTTTCTGGGAAAGGTGGAAATGCACATTGGTAACTGTTTTCAAGTCTCTTCTACTATGCAAAATTTTTACATCAGCAAAACACATCAAGACAGGTATTACAGAGGGAAACCCTAATGAGTGATTGCACAGTACCTTTCACAGTTTCTTTCAACAATCAGTGATTGCTTAAATCATGGAAAAGAAAACATGACACCTGAAAGAAGGAAAAAGGCATATGAATTTTCATGAGATAAACTTGTTTCTTGTACAAATGTGTAGCCTTGCAGCTCTTCTACTCCTCGGCAGGAGACAATGACTGATCTCCCCAGCGGGAGTCTTTTGTGGAGCCAGAGGGAAGTTACTAATGCCACAAATGGTTTCAGTGACAAGAACAGAATTTGTGAAGGTACATTTGCAGATGTCTACAAAGGTCAGAGGAACAACATAGTGTATGTCATCAAAAGACTGAAAGAGGCAAGTACTCCACCTTTTCTTTTTCTTTGAAGGGGGTATGTTATTAGTATCTCTTGAACATTAGCAGTTGTTGTTTAATATTGTATGGGCAAGGAACCAGAACGGCTACACAAGAGGAGAGGTAAAAAGGAAATGATGTAAAGTAAGTAAACCTAGGTTCAGGAAACGCATGTGAGAGATACTTTACTCATGTGAGTAGTTTTATTAACTCTACCCATGGTAGCCTGCAAGGTAGCTGCCTGCATTGATGATTGGATCAGAGGTGTCTTTACACTGGTTTTTGTTCTAATTTTCAATTAATTGTTGCCTTTGACACAAAGTTGCCATCAGTGATACTTGCCTTTTTCTAAAGGAGTTTGTCATCTGGAGACTAAAAGATCTGTATAAATGCAACATCTTAATAATTACTATTGACATTCTATTGCATGTTTTCATTTTTCAGATGGAATGCACAAGCCCAAATTCCACCCAAAGATTCTTTCATACAGAAGTACAGATTTGCTTTCGGTAAGTGTTGGCTTTCAAATGCAGTCTGTGCATATCCTCCATGTGGCCTGTTGCCCATGTGTTTAGTTTAAGACTGATGTGTCTGTCTCCCTGGCACCGTGCTGGTCTGGGGACAGTGGGGTTACGCGCTGCCTTTGCAGGAGCCCTGGGGAGACAGCATGCCTCCTGGTGATGCTGCAGGTCCCTGCTGAGCAAACGCAGCCGCTCTGCCAGTCCTTGAGATGGTGAGGAAGCGGTGCCTTCTGGAGCTTTGTATCCCTCCTACTTGCTCAGAACAGGGCTGCGCTATAATGATCTCTCTCTTTGCTGCTAGGTTAGTTAGCCTTCTGCGGTCCTGCGCAGGGCCATTCTGTGCTTCCAGCTGCAGAACACAATTCCCAGTTGCCTTGAATTTAGGAATTTATTTCAGCTCAGGAATGTATTTTTCTGTGTTGCTCTTACTTCATTTGCAAATCATTGTTGATCTGTGCCTGCAGGTGTTGTCACGTCAACATTTTACAGCTGCTGGGTTTCTCAGTAGAAACTGGATTGCACTGTCTGGTATACCCATACATGCCTAACGGATCACTACAAAACAAACTTCAGTGTCAAGTAAGCAAATAATCTGGGTCTCTTATCTATCTGCGATTACAAGTCCTGTCCTGTTATTGTATGGAAAGCAATTCTATCTCTTTGAATTCTGAGCAACGGCCAAAAAAAAAAAAAAGTGCCCAAATATCTTGACTGCAAGTACTAGAAAGGCTGCAGCTCTTTTCCAGTTTTTCTACTGCAAAGCAGATCAGGTCAACAGGAAGTTCCTGCTGTGCAGCCTTTAGATTTTTAAAGTAATAAGGAATCTGCAAAATGCGTCTATTCATATTGTAATATTTCATTGGATTTGGGAATATGCTTCTGTATAATCCATCATCATATTCATTGGCATAATGTGCTATGAAGTTTTACAAGGGTTTAAGGGAGAACAGTTTGAGGTGTTCACACCTACTGAAAGAGCATTTGCAGAGGAGGACATAGGGCAGAGAAACATCAGAAAAGCAATCCATCAAAACCAGCGCTATGCCTCAGTAATGGCCAGTACTTGATGCTTTGGACAAGCGTGATCCTTGCTGTATCCTTATCTCACTGTGTCCTATGGCAGGCAAAATGTGCAGCACAATATGTAAGAATAGGTTCCTTCCTTGGCCTAGAAATCATCAATTTCTGCCTTGGACCAAACTTCTGATTTAGGTCAGCAGGAGTTTTGATTGGGACTAAAACCGAGTCTTTGGTTTTCAAAACTACAAATGTCTCACAGTTTTTTATTCTATAAAATACCATTTTTTTCCTCACTTCCTTGCAGGATGATTCTGCTCCACTGACTTGGGAGATGCGAATTAGCATTTCCACAGGACTCATCCGAGCTGTAGAGTATTTACATAATTTTGGAATTCTTCATGGGAATATCAAAAGGTGAGGGGTTTGGCATATCAGCACTTCCTTGGTCACCTGTTAATTCCAGGATTTCTTTAACAATAATGGCTGAAAGCTTATGCGATTTTGAAATCCATTTGCAGTATCTTTCTGCTATCTCTTGTTCTGTAGGGTGTTTACTGTTTTATGTTTACTCTGTCTCTCTTTTATAAATGATGGAAATATATTCTTTTGAAGTAATTTTTGGAGTGCTTGTTCTTTCCCCTCTCCCTTTCCACCGTTCTTTATCCTTTCATTCATACACAGCAGGCCAAATGCTGGAAACTTTCAGCGCTTAACTTTAAAAGTGTAAAACTGTAATTCTTTACCTCAAGTTAAAGTAATTACTTGATCAATATTGTTATTTGTCTTTCTTTATCACTAGCTCAAACGTCTTGTTGGATGAAAACTTTATACCAAAGCTTGGACATTCAGGTCTGCGATTGTATTCTGTTGATAAAAAGTCAGAATATGCTATGATGAAAACTAAAGTCTTACAAGCTTCTCTTACTTATCTGCCGGAAGATTTTATCAGACATGGGCAGTTAACAGAAAAAGTTGATATATTTGGCTGTGGTGTGGTACGTTGCCTTTTTCCCATTTTCTCTTGTATTCTTCGGTGCTTCTAGACAGGCAATTGGATATAAGAGCATGTGCCTCATACAGTTGTTTTGCCGGCAATTTCATATCATAGTTGCTGATTATATAATGTGTTGAAATCCTGTTTTTAATTATGTTCACACTCCAAATATACTTCAGTTTGTGGCAAAGTGAGGTGAATCTTTTGAACAACATAAAATTGTTTCTTGTTACAAAAAAATTATTACTGTGGATTGTTTTTAAAAAAAGAGTAGCAGAAAGACTGCAGTTAGGTTCTCAGAATTCTTGCAGATTTGCCACATGAAGTGCTACAAACATCACCTGTTAATTTGGAATTTCAGCTAAAATAATTGATAGTCTATGATGTCACCTGTCTCCAGGTGTTTCCATTTAAATAGGAAGTTACTCTGTTCAGTGTGATTTCTTATCTAGATTTAGAATGACTTTCTTCTCATCCTTTGTTTCAACAATATCTATTGTACCTAACTATAAAATTTGGACTTGGCTCTGGAGGTACAGTGTCATAAAGATTGCCCATATCTGGCATTGTTAAGCCATCTGAAGTAAAAATATAATTTCAAAATGCCCTGGCAGTTCAACATTTCTTTAGTTACAAAACTCATTTTTAAAAATAGAATTAATTCTGAACAAATTGTTTTATCTTTCAAATATACTTTCTAGATCTTAGCAGAGATACTGACAGGGATTAAAGCACTGGATGAAGGAAGACACCCTATTTATCTGGTAAGAAAAAGCAGGAATAATGAATACCAACATGAATGAATGGGGTTGCTTTCATAAAATGAATTTTCATTTTATATAAATACAGTTTGTTATTTGCAGTCTGCTATACACATCCTGAAGAAGGGATGTTTAAAAGCCATGTCCTGGTTCCATTAACATCAATAGCCTACCTGCCTTTAGATAGAAGCAGAATGCATATTCCCATTTCACATACCACACTCGTGAGTGCTGGCCCGATTATATTAGGAGATACTCCAGAATAATTGGTGTTTAAATACATGCTTATTTAAGAGACAAGGCTTTGTGCTGAAATGCTGCTGCATGTTTTATGTGCCAGAAAGAGGTATTATGAGCCAAACTGAATGGGGAAACCTGGGTAGGCGGTAACTGCAGTTGCTTATCATCATGTTTATCAGGCGTTTATGTATTGCACTAGTGGCTGGAATTGCCCAAGCTGTGATTAGAACTACACAAACTACTTTCACAAGCAACCAGAACTGGCCAGGCTCACTGAATGCCATTAACACCATCTTCATGTAAACAGACTCCACCTAAATTCCTTCTATGGGATATGCTCCTTCTGATTTGCTGTTGAGGGGAAAACGATAGTATTCTTACTTAATATTTCCAAGCAATTCAGCAATGTTCAAATAGGTTCAGAAAATAAATGATCCTAGGTTTCTGATTTCATTAACAAATGTTTGAAAAGTCCTGTGCAAGAATGCTGCTATATACAGTGTTGGTTATTTTTCATTCCTATAAATGGGCATAAGCCTAGAAGAGCTGGGTCTGCTTTACTGAATTTGACATTAGACACATGCAGAGAAAACCTTTGGCCTTTTCTCTCCTCTGAAAACAAACACTTCTGTCAGCTGCATGAATGGAGATTCTTAAAGCTTTTAGGTCTGTAAACCAGCCATTAAGGAGCAATAATAACAAATACATGGCAAGACTTACATTCTCAGTGATTCAGATAGAAATAAATGTTTGTGTTAATTTTGCCTTCACTAATGTATCTCTTTCCTTTGAACAGAAAGATATGATTGCTGATGAAATTCAAATAGCGAAAGAAAGCTCATACTCCAAAGGAAAAAATTTTGAAAAGCTAGCTGCCAAGGAAATATGCTGTAAATATCTTGACAGGAAAGCAGGACACTTGCTGGAAGACACTGCTATTGATTTTGCCTCAGCCATCTGCCTTTGTCTGAGAAAGAAGAATTCTAACATAGCAGAGGTAATATTTTAAATACAGGACCCAGATTTTAGTCTTCTTGACAGCAAGGTCTAAAGCTACAAAATTCATGCCTTACTTATTTTTGAGAGTGTTGACATAGGAGAATATGTGTAAGCAGGGGTACAGGAATTAGTCTGCATTCACAGATTTTGTTGTTAAAAACAGGTGCTTGAAATTATGGAAATAGCTGAAAATAAATTAAGAGAGCATTACATCTGTGGAGGCAGCACTTCTGGATTCTCCATGAACACTCCAGAAGAAACTGATGATGAGACAACTAGTCTCAGCATGGATGTGCCTTCTGTGGGGCAGAATAAAGAGGACAGCACACAGCCAGTGATCCTGACAAGTGCCAATCCATGCACACCTTTAATAGGAGTTGTGTCACCTGACATTTACTGCAGACAAATGTCAAGGGTCCCTTGTGAATCAGATGAATCAAGTAGTTTTATATGGAATCCTTCAGAAAGATCTACAGATGAGCTATCTAGCACCAGCTGTAACAATTCAGAAAATATGGCAGCCTCTGATTACAGGATCAAGCAGGAAAAACCTGCAAATGGACTCCAGAAAAGAAATGCGGCATGCACCAAAAGTGATGACGTCTTAGAAACAGCGCCTACTGCACAGAGCACCTTTCAACAAAGAAATGCAGACCTTGACTCTTCGTGTTCTTCACAAGGTAAATCTAGATAAATCTGAAGGGTGCATGCAGAACATTCAAAAGCATATGAACTTCAAGCTTTTGGCAAAACTGCCCATGCTCCTGTTATGATAACCGAAGTCTTTGTGAAAGTGCTCTAGTATTATAATAGTAGGGACAAATTACTCTCTTCTGCAGAATTGCTTACGTTCTTCTTCCCACTTCTAAACACATTTCAGTAAATCTTTTCTCCTTGGTTATGATTTTACCAATAAATCTACAAAATGTTTTCTGGTTTTCTATCAGATTTTTTTCCTAAGCCTGTTTTGTTTTGTTTTAAATTTAAAATTACCATCTATTCCTTAGACAATATATGGATTTTTTTCCTCAATATTTGGGCTTTTGTGTTTTTCAGCATTAGCCAGAGAGACATCTTGGAAAATAAAGATAAATGATCAAAAAAAGAAGCTCATGGAAAATATTTTGCTGTATGAAGAAGACAAATTAAACAGTTCTGAACTTTTTGAATCATAAATTGGATGGATTTATTAGCAGTGGCCAGCTCGAAAGAAGAAATAAGGACTGTCTCTTCATTAGAAGGATGGTAAAAGTCTGTCTTTCATGTAAGGTTAAGTAGCAGATTTGGATCAGAAACATTAGCCCTGACTGAAGAAAACAGAAGTGATCACACTGAGAAGAAACAGAAAATACCTGTTCTGAAGCCAATTAAAGCACAATGCCACTCTGTAAACAGAAATGCCTTCTTCCTTTTCATCTGCAATGTAAAAAGATATGGCAAACACAAACAATTGCCAAAATAATTTACGATTCTTTTGCAGTGTATTTCAGAAAGCATCTACATATAATGTATGTCTTACTAAAAAACACAGTCCTGGAAGTTATAGGGCAAGCACTGATCAGCAACCAGTTAGCAATACCCTTTATTGTTATCCCACTGTGTGTGAGCAGACAGAAATCTTCAGGGAGATTGGAGTAGGTTTCAGTTTTCAAAGGAATCTATCCTATTCCATATAATCTTAGTCCACATACTCAAAAACACTGCATTACCAGAGAGGGGAATTTTTACGCAAGTTCTCAGATGTATTCTACATGACTCAGTCTCAATTTGAATTGCACTGAACATAGTTGTAAGTAAATAATTTATGCCATGTTAGTCTACTCTATGAGCTGCTCTACTACATATCTACATATGACAACATTTGAAGTCTAACCTTTAAGCTTCGCTGTCAGGAGCTCTAAGACAGTGTTTAATACTTCATAAGAGTATTTCTGGAAGTTAATTTTTTCTAAGTGTCCTTTACATGTTGTTAAGGTTTCTCATTGTGTTTCACATGGTAACTGTTGTATATTTTGGATTAGGGACAAGATTTTAATTTAAAATATCTTTAATTTTGTTGTAGGTCCCTTGAAATTTTATTTGTTATATTTATTTTGGCAATGGGTTAAAGAATCGGTGAAAGATGAGCTGGTAAGTGGACCTGTTCATGGTGCCACGCTCACCGCATGTTCTCAGAGAGGAATCATTTTGTGTGTCTCTTGGCTTACCCAGCATTAGCAGCCTTGGGGTCAGCCTCAGTGATCATGCTTAAAAGTAAAAAATAGAAACTTGTATGCTGTCATATTTATTATCAAGTGAAAGCCCCCTTAAGAAAGTGCCACTTTTATTGTTACGACTATTTATTATTTGTAATATTGTTAGCATATTCCACTCTTGCGCAGTCTAAGGAAATACAGGTTTATTATAAACAAAAAGAACTATCAGAACATGTAGCTCAGCTTACAGACAGGTGACTGCTGCCCCCGTAGCATAGGTAATAGGGCCTGATGTATAGAAATGGTGAAAATTCACAATGGAGTTCAGGGAATATTAAAAAAAAAACAAACCAAATGTATATGTAATTCTTCTCATTAGAATTGTGTAATGGTATAGTTTTCCTAGCTTTACATGAAGGTCTCGAGTAAGGCCTCGTATCTTCTATATTTGTACAGTACCTAGTTCATTGTAGGTACTATTATGAGCAAGTAAAAGTATTTTAACTAAAGACCTGAGTATTAGAATAATCTACACATTATCAAATTGATTTCTACACTAAAAACTGGTAAAATTCCTTAATTGTAAGTGCCTTGGATACTGTTTATATATTTGCCAGTGTCAGGTTTTCTTTATTTTACCAGAATCAAACCAAGAAAACATTGATACTGACATGAGAAACATTGAGTATATTAACCAGTTATTGACCAATCTGAATTCTACATGAGATTTAATTGAGATACTTTATGGCACTGAAAACTTAACATTCATTGTTTTTCATGGGTGTATTTTTGGAGATCCATGGTAAATACCTTGGGTCTCCTCCAGGAAGAAATGCACATAGACACATTTTTTAAATTGAGAAACATAATTTAGACGCAGTTCTTTCACAAAAATGCTTTAAAGGTTTTGTTCTCTTATAGTCACAAAATTAAATTGTTATTCTTTGCCTTGTTCCATGTTAGTTTTAAAATACTCTGAGGTGATATACATTGTCTTGTAGAGTTACATAAGTATATAATGTAACATATATAAGATACTGCGTAGCCTTACAATAATGGTACTCTGTTAACGTAACTTGGCTGTTCAGTATAATGTATGTTTTAATCTCAACTTGGCAAATTTATACATTACATTTACTAACACCTTTGTGAATAAAAAAAATGAAAAAAAATCCTTACAGCCTGCTATTTCATGATCTATGGCACAGAAAAATGTGTCTCAATCCACCCTATTTAGGTAAATTTGTGTTCGTAGGGAAGCAGTTCAAGGTCTCTTTGCACACACTTAATCATTAGTAATTATTAGTACGAACATGTTTATTCAGTCTTCATTCACTGTTAAATAGCTGATTTTTTTTCCTTTGAGGTGTCCCTAGAGAAAAATTTCACTCTAAAATTAATAATTACAAGGATTACTGAGGTACAACTGACATTTATTGTTGTTTAGATGCACAATCTATAGTATTCTTTATCCTGAAGACATTGTAGCTCTTTGCCAAAAATGAAGGACAACTCTGCTTTTTTTTAATCCATGAACACTAGAATAAGGGCACAGAATATAAATTTAAAAAAAAATAGTTGTTATAGAAATATAGAACTGTGCAAGTAAAACTAATTTGGAGATTAGCACCTCCCGAAGGCGCTGTTGAAACCTAGAGGCTGAACATCATCCTATATTGTTGATTAATGGTAAGAATTATCAATTCATTGACACATTATTCTATTTTTTCTTGTATGTTTAATTTTAATAATGTGAATAAATACAAACATGGAAGCACTGTGTCTACTAGCAAAACTAAGAAGGCATTTAAATATGTAGAGGCTGAAGAAAGCTGCATTACACAGTTTTCGAGGTTACTAATTGCTATGTAACAAACTAGCAAATTTTTCTGTAACCATTGACTGCATCTTACGTATCCTTTGTACTAGAACATTTTTGTATCTAAAAATGAGATGTCCATGCTATAAAATATACAGCTTCTAACATGTGCTAGGTTTGTGGGGTTTTTTTTTTCAGGCAACAGTGAAATAGATGCATTTCCTAACATTTGATGAATTGTATTGCCCGGTGCTATTTCTTATACAGTTGCTGCTGTTTGTTAAAGTAAATGGTAAATTTCCCTAAATTGAAAGACTGGACAACACCTTCGAGTATTTCAGTAAAGTGTGTGTACAAGGACAACCCAACCACACATGACATTGATCTATATACATTATTAAGTAGAATCTTTTTGTGTTTACAACTTGAACTTGCAGTTTGAAAATTGAAAAAAGTATTTCAAGATATAATTCCTACAGGAGAATATTATCATTCAGAGAAAACAACTACAGTATTATCTATGCAAAGCTCTTTACTCTTTAGAAAACCTTAAGGTACTCACAGTGTACTTCTCATATGTTCACCCAGTGGTGAGTAACCCTAATCCTGACCTGCGCAAGAGGCTCATCAGAGCGGGAGAAAGGAGCTGTAGAGCCCCGCAGAAAAATCAGTGTTTGCATTTGTGGGAGGTTGCATTTGACAGGCTGGGAAAGGTGAAAAGCAAGCAGAAGAGAAAATGGCGTGACTGCATAGCTAAATCAATAATAACAATTCTCATTGATGACATGCTCATCCCCATGCACCAGCTTGCATACAATCAAATGTGTATTTCGTATTTTGTGTGCTGTTCTGCACAATGCCCTTGCCCAAACTGATGTCTTGCAGCTGCAGTAATCCATACAGTACAATCCATGTGACTTTCGCAGCATTCCCAAGTGATACAAATATCTTTTTTTCTCTCGTTAAGTCCTCTAATTAATAACGCCTGTCCTGCTGAGAAAAGGCTTGGTACAAAAGCCTACGGCAGCCCCCAAGCCGCTCCTCAAGCGCCTTCTCTGCGCTTCCCGCCCGCGGCAGAGGCTGGAGGCCGCGCCGTCACAGCTGCGGGCCGGGCTCCTCAGAGGGCCGAGCCCAGAGCCCGCGGGTGCCCCGGGTCCCGTAGCCCGCCCCACAGCGTATTGCTGCCCGTGCTGTTACCACTGACCCTTTCCTGCGGAGCGGTCCGAGCGCGGCGCAAACGGGCTCCGCTGCAGCCGGCCCGGGGCCGGCGT